TCACAGGCTTCCTGCCATTAGTTCCCTACCCTTAACCTGGACTCGAGGCTGGCGGCCACCTGGGACTGACGACGGAGACAGAGACCCCTCACCGGCCCTCGGAACAGCACACGGTGACAGGGGACTGGGATTTGTTAGGAGGGTCTCAGGGAGCCATGGAGTAGGGGCTTGGGGACGAGGAGAGTTGAAGTGCACTCTCCAGGGTTACAAAAGGAGGTGGCAGGCTGGGCGGGGTGGCTCACCTCTGTAATCCCAGCACTTCGGGAGGCCAAGGTGGGCGGATCACCTGAGGTCAGGAGTTCAAGACCAGCCTGGCCAAAATAGTGAAAGTCTGTCTCTACTAAAAATACAAAAATTAGCTGGGTGTGGTGGCAGGTGCCTGTAATCCCAGTTACTTGGGAGACTGAGGTAGGAGATCACTTGAACCCAAGAAGCGGAGGTTGCAGTGAGCCGAGATTATACCACTGCACTCCAGCCTGGGCAACAGAGTGAGACTCTGTTTCAAGAGAGAAAAAAAAAAAGGAGGTAGTAAAAATGGGCAGAAAGTTCTGGGCCACCTCCTCTGGGTGAAGAATGCTCTCATGCCACATGTGTGAGCTGTCCCTGGGCAGAGGTTTTGAATGTCCGTCACTGCGGTATCCCCGGCGCTTAGGATTGTGACTAGCGTACAACTGGGGCTCAATGCATAATTTTACACTAAATGAATGAATCCATCCCCTGATGACAAAGGAAAGATTGTCCTCCTTGATGGATCACTCATCAATTATTTATCAAGTGCCTGCTAAGTTTGAAGAACCAGGGAGCCAGCCTCACCTCTAGGAAAGTGAGAGAATGGGGCAGATGGGTGATCACCAAATGATCCAACACACCCGGTCTCATTGCTGCTGCCTGTCACCATCTCTTGTTTTTTATTTTTTTTTGCGGGGAAGGGGGGTGTGGGAGATCAGTGTCACTATGTCATCCAGGCTGGAGTGCAGTGGTGTTATCATGGCTCACTCCAACCTCTCTCTGCCTCCCAAGTTCAAACAATTTTCTTGTCTCAGTCTCCTCCCAAGTAGCTGGGATTAGAGGCGTGCACCACCACACCCAGCTAATTTTGTATTTTTAGTAGAGATGGGGTTTCACCATGTTGGCCAGGCTGGAAATCCCAGCCTCAGGCGATCCTCCCACTTCAGCCTCTCAAAGTGCTGGGATTACAGGCATGAGCCACCTGGCTAGTTTTTGTATTTTTAGTAGAGGTGGGGTTTTACCATGTTGGCCAGGCTGGTGTCAAACTCCTGACCTCAGGTGATACTCCTGCCTCAGCCTCCCAAAGTACTGGATGACAGGCATGAGCCACCGTGCCCAGCCTGTAACCATCTCTTCATAGGAGAAAAGCGCCTGTAGAAGGTCCTGCTTCAGTTAAGGTAGCCAGGGAAAGCTTTTGGGGAGAAAGTGAAATTTGCACTGAGATCTTAGGATTGAGTTTTTAAAAAAAAAGCAGAGGAAAGAAAGGCTGTTCCAGTAAGAGGAAGCAGTACATGCTCCACGTGCAAAGGCCCTGGGGTGGGAGGGAAACACGGGAATCTTGGCAATGGAGGCAAAGGTAGGGAAGCCGGGATGTGGCGCACCAAGAGGGGGAAGGTGCCGGAGAAGTCTGGAGAGCTGGCAGGTGCTCCAGCCCACGCCGGCAGAGTTGGGGAGACTCCTATTTATCCCAAGAGCATGAAGAGCCACAATGTGATTGTCTGGCTTGAACGGTTTATTTCTTGAGACAGAGTCTCACTCTGTAGCCCAGGCTGGAGTGCAGTGGCACAATCATGGCTCACTTCAACCTCAACCTCCTGGGCTCAAGTGATCCTCATGCCTCAGCCTCCCGAGTAGCTGGAACTCCAGTGTAAGCCACCCTGCCTGGCCAATTTATTTTTGTTTTGTAGAGACAGGATTACGCCATGCAGCCTAGACTGGTCTTGCAGCTCTGGCCTCAAGCGGTTCTTCTGCCTGGGTCTCCCAAAGCACTGGGGTTACATGATTTGGGCTTTTAAAGGATCACTTTGGCTGTGGGGTGGTGAGTGGCTGGTAAGAGATGAATATAGAGTTGGGGGCCAGGCACAGTGGCTCACGCCTGTACTCCCAAAATTTTGGGAAGCCCAGGTGGGTGGATCACCTGAGGTCAGGAGTTCAAGACCAGCCCGCCAACATGGTGAAAACCCGTCTTGACTAAAAATATGAAAATTAGTTGGGTGTGCACCTGGGGTGTGTGCACCTGGGGTGTGTGCCTACTCTACTCAGGAGGCTGAGGCAGGAGAATTGCTTGCACGCGAGAGGCAGAGGTCAGTGAGCTGAGACTGGGCCACTACACTCCAGCCTGGGCAACAGAGCAAGATCCTGTCTCAAAAAAAAAAAAAAAAAACAAACTGGATCTCTGGATGATAGGGCTATGGAGACAGAGCAAAGTGGACAGAGGCAAGAGGCAAAATCGACAGGGCTTTGTGATGAATTGGATGTGTGGGTTGGGAGAGTGGGAGAGAGAGGTATTCAGGGATTCTACACCCATATCTCAGATGAGCATACTGAGGCTCAGGGTTGGGGCAAAGCCCATCTTCACACAGTCATAATCCAGCATCTCAACTAGCACTTCGACCTATGCCTGTCTGCTGTGTAAGCTCCAGCTGTCTTGAACCCCAGATGTGTCTTCTGTGTCTGCCCCTCACCCATGGAGGTCATTCTCAGGCTCAAAGACATAAATAGCATCCGAATTATTTTTGTATTTTTTCGTAGAGAAAAGGCTGGTCTTGAACTCCTGGGCTCACACAATCCTTGTGCCTCTAACTCCCAAAGTGCTGGGACTACAGATATGAGGCACTGTGTCAGGCTGGCATCTACATCATTCCAATGATTCCCACAAGCCTGAAGCCTGTATCCAGCCAGAAACCCCTCCTGTCATCTTTTTTTTTTTTTTTTTTTTTTTTAGATGGAGTCCCACTCTGTCGCCCAGTATTGAGTGCTGTGGTGCGATCTCAGCTCACTGCAATCTCTGTCTCCCAGGTTCAAGCAATTCTCCTGCCTCAGTCTCCAGAGTAGCTGGGATTACAGGCCCGTGCCACCACACCTGGCTAATTTTTGTATTTTTAGTAGAGACGGCTTTTTGCCATGTTGGACAGGCTGGTCTTGAACTCCTGACCTCCGGTGATTCACTTGGCTAGGCCTTCCAAAGTGCTGGGATTACAGGTGTGAGCTACTGTGCCCAGCCCTCCTCCTGTCATCTCACTGCCAGTATCACTGCCTACTCTAAGTCTCCCCTGGATGTCTTACAGGCATCTCAAAGGCAACATGACCAATGCTGAGCTCCTGGTCCTACCCCAAACCTGCTCTCCCTGACGTCTCCCCGTCTCAGGGCACAGCAGCTCCACCCGCTCAAAAGTCCCGCAGTCACCCCGACACTGCTCTCATCCCACCTCGCACATCCAGCCCAGCACCAAAGCTAGCCAGCTCACCTTGACCCTGGAGTCTGCTTCTCACCCCTCCTCTGACATCACCCTGGTCCCCATCCCCATCACTGCCCACCTGGGTTACTGCAGCAGCCTCCTCCCGACCTCCTGCTTCCATCCCACCCCCTCAACCTGGTCTCAACCTTGAAGCCACAGTGATTGTTAAGACCTAAGTCAGACATTGTTCCTCCTCTGCTCAAGAGTCTCCTATAACTCCCATCTCACTCCCAGGAAAGGCCAGGGGAGTTGCAATGTGACTCACAGGGTTCTGCCCGTCTGCCCGCCTCCCTCTCTGTCTTCACCTCTCACCTCTCTCCCCATGGCCCACTTGGCTCCAGCCACACCAGCCTCCCTGCTGTTCTCTGAGCATTCCAGGAACCATCCTACCTCAGGACCTTTGCACAAACTGCTGGTCCTGCCTGGAGGGCTCTTCCTTCAGATATGGATGTGTCTCACTTCATTACCTCCTCAAACCCTTTGCTCAGGTGTTACATTCTTAACGGGGTCGTCCCTGAGAACCCCAATTAATGTACCAGTGGCTCCTTTCTGTCTCATCCCTCACATTCCCAATTCTTCTTACTTTAATTTTTTTTTTAATTGAGACAGAGTTTTGTTCTTATCACCCAGGCTGGAGGGAGTGGTGCAATCTTGGCTCCTGCAACCTCCGCCTCTCAGGATCAAGACATTCTCCTGCTTCAGCCTCCCCAGTAGCTGGGATTACAGGTACCCACCACCACACTTAGCTATTTTTTTTGTATTTTCAGTAGAGACGGGGTTTCACCATGTTGGCCAGGCTGGTCTTGAACTCCTGACCTCAGGTGATCCACCCACCTTGGCCTCCCACAGTGCTGTGACTACAGGTGTGAGCCACCACATATAGCCCCATCCACTTCATTTATTATTTTTTCATAACACTTGTAATCTTCTAAACCAGTATATTGTGATTTAATTTATCATGTATTACATCTGACCTCCCACTGGGATGTAAGCTCCACGAGGGCTTGCTTTGTTACAGGACTTGTCTTAGAACAACAGTATTATTGCGGCCAGTGAGCAGCCTGGGTGACACGGCGAGGCTCTGTCTCAAAAACAAACAAACAAAAAACAATACTATTGTGTCATAAAAAGCATTCAGGCTGGGCTCACACTTATAATCCCAGCACTTGGGAGGCTGAGGTGGGAGGATCACTTGAAGCCAGGAGTTCAAGACCACAGCCTGGGCAACACAGCAAGACCTCATCTCTTACAAGAAAAATCTAAGGCCAGCTGCGGTGGCTCACCCCTTAATTCTAGCACTTTGGGAGGCTTAGGAGAGCGGATTGCTAGGTCAGGAGTTCGAGACCAGCCTGGCCAACATAGTAAAACCCCATCTCTACTAAAAATACAAAAATTAGCCAGGCATGGTAGTGAGTGCCTGTAGTCCCAGCTACTCGGGAGGCTGAGGCAGGAGAATTGCCTGAAGGCAGGAGGCGGAGGTTGCAGTGAGCCAAGATTGCGCCATTGCACTCCAGTCTGGGTAACGAGCGAAACTCCATCTAAAAAAAAAAAAAAAAGAAATTAGCCAGGCATGGTGGTAAGTGCCTGTAGTCCCAGCTACCCCAGGAAGCTGAGGTGGGAGGATTGCCTGAGCCTAGGAGGTGGAGGCTGCACTGAGCTGTGAATGTACCATTGCACTCCAGCCTTAGTGACAGAGCATGACCCTTTCTCTAAAATAATAAGCATTCCATAGAAATGCTCGAATGGAGAAATCATGAGTGGGGTCTCGGAGGGGACCAGGGTCGCAGTGACAGGCAACCTGGGGTTCTGACCCATGATCACTGCTGTTGCAGGAAGATGAATGCTTCCAGATGCGTGCCTGAGGAGGTGGGGTTCCTCCGCCCGCTGACCATGGCTGTCCTGTCTGTGTCCTTTGTCGTCGGAGTGGTGGGCAATGGGCTGGTGCTGTGGATGACTGTCTTCCGCATGGCCCGCACGGTGTCCACCGTCTGGTTCTTCCACCTGGCCCTTGCCGATTTCATGCTGTCTCTGTCTCTGCCCGTCGCGACGTATTACGTGGCCTCTGGGCAGTGGCTCCTCGGAGAGTGGGCCTGCAAACTCTACATCACCTTTGTCTTCCTCGCCTTTTTTGCCAGTAACTGCCTCCTCATCCTCATCTCTGTGGACCGTTGCATCTCAGTCCTCTACCCCGTCTGGGCCCTGAACCACCGCACCACACAGCGGGCGAGCTGGCTGGCCATCACGGTGTGGCTCCTGGCCGTGGCCTTGTGCTCTTCACACCTGAGATTCCGGAAGACCAGAAAATGGAACGGCTGTGCACAGTGCTACTTGGAGTTCAGCTCCAAGAATGAGACTGCCCAGACTTGGAATCAGGGGATCTTCGAGATAAAAAATGTGGTGACCATAGGCCACTTCCTGCTGGGCTTCCTAGGGCCCTTGGCAGTCATAGGTATCTGCGCCCACCTCATCCGGGCAAAGCTCTTGCGGGAGGGCTGGGTCCACGCCCACCGGCCCAAGAGGCTGCTGCTGGTGCTGGTGAGCGCTTTCTTCATCTGCTGGTCCCCGTTTAACATGGTCCTGTTGGTCCATCTATGGCGAAGGGTGATCCTCAAGGAACTCTACCACCCCCGGATGCTCATCATCCTCCAGACTAGCTTTGCCTTGGGCTGTGTCAACAGCTGCCTCAACCCCTTCCTCTACGTCTTTGTTGGCAGAGATTTCAAAGAAAAATTTTTCCAGTCTTTGCCTTCTGCCCTGGCCAGGGCGTTTGGAGAGGAGGAACTTCTCCATGGTCCTGTCCCCGTGGCAACGCCCCCAGGGAACGGTGGAAGCCTTGAGTTGGAAGCTGGAAGCTGTCTCTCCTAGTTTGCTTGTGGCCTCTCACCTTGACTGGCTTCTAACACCCTGCCAAATTCTGCCTCTTCTTTCAGGAAGTCTTCCAGCAACTCCTCATTTAAAGCTCTGTGGTAGAGACAGCTGCTTATTCCCAATGTCTTTTCTCTTTCTCTCTCTCTTTCTTTCCTTTCTTTCTCTCTTTCTCTCTCTCTCTCTTTCTTTCTTCTCTCTTTCTTTTTTTTTCTGAGACTGACTCTTGCTCTGTCACCAGGCTGGAGTGCAGGGGCACCCTTTCAGCTCATGGCAACCTCCGACTCTTTGGTTCAAGTGATCCTCCAGCCTCAGCTCCCCAAAGTGCTGGGATGACAGGTGTGAGCCACAGCGCCTAGTCTCCCCTTTGTTTGTAGTAAGACTCCTTTGCATGTAGGTACAGCCGTGTGACTGCATTCTGGCCAGTAGGATGTAAATGACAGAATCAATATAACTTCCTTGAGGTGCCCTTAAATGGAAGGGGCCTGCCCTCCATTTCCCCATTTCCCCCTTTCTATTGTCCCGAATGCAGATGTACCAGTTAGCTCTTGCTGTGTAACAAACACCCTCGAAGTTTAGAGGCTTAAAAACGTGACCTTTTTTTTATTCCGATAGGGTCTTGCTCTGTTGCCCAGGCTGGAGTGCAGTGGTGTGATCACTGCCACCTCAATCTCCCAGACTCAAGCAGTCCTCTCACCTCAGCCTCCTGAGTAGCTGGGATTACAGGCATACCCCACTGTGCCTGGCTAATTAAAGAAAAATATTTTTTTTGTTGATATGGGGTCTCACTATGTTGCCCAGGCTGGTCTCAAACTCCTGGCCTCAAGTAGTCTTCCTGTCTCATCCTCCCAAAGTTTTGGGATTAGAGACGTGAGCCACCACACCTGGCTCCTTTTAAGATGTCTGCGGGTCAGCGCTTTGGGCTGGGCTCGGCTGAGCCATTTTCTCGTCTTGCGGCTGAGCTGCTTCATGCATCTGTGGGTCAGCTAAGTGATTCTGCTTCTGGGAGGGTGCTGGCTCGGGGTGGTGGGACTGGCTACTCCACATAGCTCTTAGCATCCTGCAGGCTGCCTTTTTCATGTGATGGTTGAGGAGGGTTCCAAGAGTGAGAGAAGCATGAGGCAGAGGCTCAGAACTTTGCACAAGGTGGCTACCACTCAAGCTACTGGCCAAAAAGCAAGCGACAAGCCTGGCCTAGATTCAAGGTGTGAGAAAGAGACTCCACCCCTTGATGGGAAAATCTGAAAAGCAGCATTGCCAAGGAGCACGCATGCAGGAAGGTGTGTAGAACTGGGGCCATTTGTGTCATCTGCCACAGCAGCTGTGATGGAAAGCCACCGTGTCCCCAGGGAGTCCGTAGTCCAGCCGGGAGATGTTTACACCCAGGTTGTGAAAAGGGAGATTTCAAATCCCAGCTCACTGAAGCCACCGTTTTTCTGTGTTCTGCTGCGCCGGCTGAATCTACCCCCTAAATCCTTTTTGTTGTTGTTGTTTGTTTTTGTTTTTGTTTTTAATTGGAGTTTCGCTCTTGTTGGCCAGGCTGGAGTACAGTGGCACAATCTCAGCTCACTGCAACCTCTGCCTCCCGGGACCGAGTGATTCTCCTGTCTCAGCCTCCCGAGTAGCTGGGATTACAGGTGCCTGCCACCACGGCCGGCTAATTTTTCGTAGTTTTAGTTGAGGCTACGTTTCACCACGTTGGCCAGGCTGGTCTCAAACCCCTGACCTCAGGTGATCTGCCCGCCTTCGCCTCCCAAAGTGCTGGGATTATAGGCATGAGCCACCGTGCCCAGCCCTACCCCTTAACTTTTTTTTTATTTTTAGATTTTATTTTATTATTTTTGAGACAGAGTCTCACTCTGTTGTCCAGGCTGGAGTGCCCTGGCACAGTCTTGGCTCACTGCAACCTCCACCTCCCAAGTTCTAGCAATCCTCCTGCCTCAGCCTCCTGAGTAGCTGGGACTGTAGGCACGCCATCACGCCTGGCTAATTTTAGTTTTTTTTAAGAGATATGGTTTCACCATGTTGGCCAGGCTGATCTCTAACTCCTGACCTCGTGATCGAGCTGCCTCGGCCTCCTTAAGCACTGGGATGACAGGTGTGAGACTCTGCATCCTACCCCCCTTAACTATTAATTGTGCCACCAATGTCTGATATTTGTGCAAAGCAACTTAGCAAATTTCCCTATTGTTGCAGCCAGTTGGAGTCAGGTTTTCTGTTACTTAAAACCCCTCCCAAAAACAAACTGATGCATGTGATAAATACTCCTTTCTGGGGAATGAAGTTCTAGCGGTCCCTGGTCACGACAGACAATTCTTTTGGCTCTAGGTTGAGGCAAAAGAAAAATGTCATGCAATCCAGAAGCTGTCACACCACTTGCTCATGATTCAAAAAAGTAGTTCTGCCTGGGCTCAGTGGGTCATGCCTGTAATCCCAGCAATTTGGGAGGCCAAAGCGGGCAGACTACTTGAGGTCAGGATTTCGAGACAAGCCTGGCCAACATGGTGAAACCCTGTCTTTACTAAACACGAAAGTTAGCCACGCATGTTGGCAGGTGCTTATAATCCCAGCTACCTGGGAGACTGAGGTGGGAAAATCGCTTGAACCAAGGAGACAGAGGTTGTAGTGAGCCAAGATCTTGTCACTGTACTCCAGCCTGGGTGACAGAGACTCTGTCTCAAAAAAAAAAAAAAAAAAAAGAAAGAAAGAAAGAAAGAAAGCAGCTCTGACTTGCCCTGAGAACTCCCCCCATCAGAGCCTCAGTTGCCCAAGTCTGTAAAATAGGACCAAATGTTTCCATCTTCTGGATGAGGAGAGGATTAAATGACACAGGGACTGAGTGCCAGGAAGCATAGAGGCACTTTAAAAAATTAATTCCTTTGGTACGTTGAGTGGGGAGGATTGCTTGAGACCAGGAGTTTGAGGCCAGCCTGGGCAACATGGTGAAACCCCATCTCTACAAAAGATGGGCAAGGTGGCACCTGCCTGTAGTACTGGCTACTCAGGAGCCTGAGATGGGAGCATCACTTAAGCCCAGGATGTAAAGGTTGCAATGAGCTGAGATCATGCCACTGTGTTCCAGCCTGGGTGACATAATGAGTTTCTCTCTCTCTCTCTCTCTCTCTCTCTCTCTCTCTCTCTCTCTCTCTCTCTCTCTCTCTCTCTCTCTCTCTCTATCTCATACACACACACACCCCTATTATGTTGACTAGTGGATCTGATTAAAAATAAATGAACTGGGAAAAGCAGCTTATTTTTGTTTGAAAACTTGAAAGCAATGGGCAGTAGTTCTCCCTCTCATTCCCAAATCCTCCATTCCCACTTCTCTCACTAGAACCCTGTTAATCAGTTTCTTGTGTATCCTCCCAGCTATCAGTCTGACCCATGCCTAAGCCACTTCCAACACAAAGAGAACATGCCATATCTATGAGTCTACAAGGTGTGTGTTTGCCAAAGAGTATGCCTTGGGAACGGTTGTGTGGAAATACTCAAGATGTCTAGCACATGACTTTTCAGTGGTGGTGGCTAAGCATTCCCTTCTGCATATATACTGTGCACAAACGTGGTGCCCTAATCCCCTACTGATGGGCACTCAGCTCGCTTTGAATTTGCTGCAATGATATTTTTGAAACTTTGAAAATTATTCAATAAAATGCATGTTCTGAACAATAAGAAAGGAAAACAGAACTGGGATAATTCTTTTGATTTACCGCTGAGTGAATACCCAGGCAACCCAGCCATAAAACAATGTGGCCACCCCAGGGCACCCCTGCCACCTCCCCCCTGTCTCAGTCAGTCCTCCATCTACTTTAAAAAGAAAACTTGTTTCTTTTTTTTGAGGTGGAGTCTCGCTCTGTCACTCAGGCTGGAGGGCAGCGGTGAAATCTCAGCTCACTGCAACCTCTGCCTCCCGGGTTCAAGAGATTCTTCTGTCTCAGCCTCCCGAGTAGCTGGGATTACAAGCATGCGCCACCATGCCCGGCTAATTTTTTTTTTATTTTTATTTTTAGTAGAGATGGGGTTTCACCATGCTGGCCAGGCTGGTCTCAAACTCCTGGCCTCAGGTGATTTCCCCCATCTCGGCCTCCCAAAGTGCTGGGATTATAGGCATGAGCCACTATGCCTGGCCTTCTTTAAAGATAACTTCCAAAATTTTAGTGTACATTTTTCTTTTGGCTTCCTCTGAAATATTTAATTTGAAATGTTTCAAAGCTACAGTTATAAGAATAATATATCTTGGCTGGGTGCGGTGGCTCACGCCTGTAATCCCAGCACTTTGGGAGGCCGAGGTGGAAGGATCACGAATGAGGTCAGGAGTTCAAGTCCAGCCTGACCAACATGGTGAAACCCATCTCTACTAAAAACATAAAAATTAGCCAGGCATGGTGGCATGTACCTGTAATTTCAGCTACTCAGGAGGCTGAGGCAGGAGAATCACTTGAACCCGGAAGATGGAGATTGCAGTGAGCTCAGATTGTGCCATGCTACACTCCAGCCTGGGTAACAGAGCAAGACTCCATCTCAAAAAATAATAATAATAATAATATATCTTTATTTTTTTTTGGAGATAGAGTTTCCCTCTTGTCACCCAGGATGGAGTGCAGTGGCCCAATCTCGGCTCACTGCAATCTCCATCTGAGGATTACAGGCATGCATCACCATGCCCGGCTAATTTTTTTGTTTTTAGTAGAGGCAGGGTTTCGTCATGTTGGCCAGGATGGTCTCGAACTCCTGACCTCAGGTGATCCGCCCACCGGGCTTCCCAAAGTGCTGGGATTACAGGTGTGAGCCACCGCCCCAGCCAATATCTTTCGATTAAATCTATTGACGTTAATATTTGCCCATCCCCACATTTGGTCGGTCTCTGTCTCCATCTGGCCGTGCATCACAGTACATCCAGCGTGATGAGCAGACCTAGAGAAAGACCTGATGTCTGGGAAACCCAGGAGGAACTCCCACTGTGCCACAAGGGGCAGGATGCTCAGAAGTACCTCCCCCAAATTTAGAACTGTGTCAAAGTAGGCGCAGGTGGGACATCATGATATTTCAACCTATGAATTCTTGTTTTGGAGATAGAGT